CGAACGTCAGCTTTCCTGCTCCTCTGATGCTGCTTGGCCTGCTGTGTTCATCCAGCTCTACACCTTGTTATCTCAGATTCTCCAGCATCTGCAGTTCCTACTATCTCCCAAATCTAGAGGGCATGGCTTTAAAGGTGAGAGGGGAAAGATTTAAAGGGGACTTTAAGGGGCAACTTTTTCACACATGAGGTTGTGTGTCAATGGAATAAGCTGCCAGAGGAAGTAGTAGAGGCGGGTACAATTAAACATTTAAAAGGCATTCGGACAAGTACATGAATGGGAAAGGTTGAGGGGTGTACGGGCCAAATGCAGGTAAATGGGACTAGTTCAGTTAAGGAAACCTGGTTGGTCTGGACGAGTTGGGCTGAAGGGCCTGTTCCGGTGCTGTATGTCTCTATAAATAAGTCCCTTCTGCACCTTTCACGGTCTTCCTAACACGCGGTACCCAGTGTTGGTCACAGATCGAGCTGACTTCTTACCAGTGTTTTTAAAAGATTAGTGCCACTTCCTTTTTTAACTGTGTCTCAATTTATAAAGCCAGTTACTCCATCTGACTCTTTCACTGTCTTTCGGAGTTGTTCTGGCACCAAAGATTTGCTTCTATGGAGCCCATTTAAACTTATTCCATTTAGTTTATTTTCTTTGTCCTCCTAAATCTGAAAAGTTGTGGTTCCAGTTGTGAAGTGTGAAGAATAATTTATGAACTCGCTGAGGCAAAGGCATGAGGTTAGCCAGCTGGTTGAAGATGTGAAGCAGAGATTGCTAGAACTAACGTGAGCATTAGTGCCTCTGTTAGACTGTTGTAGAAAAGGGGAGAGTCAGAGATGTGAACCTTGGGGGCTTCATTAAAAATAGGAGGGTGGAGCTGAAGATCGAAATCACGACATTACAGAAACTGGAAATGTTTAAAATGAAGGTTGTGAAGAGCTTAAAAGGATATGCAAGTGTATAAGTAAAGAGAAGCTGAGCTCTAATGCTGAAGGAGGGACAGACCCCAACTAAGAAGCAGAAATGTGTACAGAAGGTTTAAACTTCTAAACTGGGAGACTGTGTGGAGCAGATTATCAGGTGAGGTTTTTGGAGTTGGGTTTGTGTGGTGGACATTTGGCAAGAGAAATCATTGACTGGGAAAGTCAGAGTGCGATGATCTTGGTGAAATGATACAGGGCTGCAGTGAGACCAATCCTGGTTGTCTGCGTACAGTTTTGTTTCCCCACCGATGGTGGGACCACCAGGCTGATACTGAGATGAGAGGTTGTCTTGTGAGGAGAGATTGGAGTAGAAGGGGTTTGTATTCTCTGGACGTTATAAGATTGAGAGATAATCTTACTGAAATTCATAGAGGGCATAATGTCAGAGTAAGGGGTTTTGAGAGATGAGGAATTTCTTGTCAGGACAGTAAAACTGTGGGATTTTTTTTTTGCTGCAGAGAGCTGTCGAGGCTGAGCCTTTAAGTATATTCAAGACTGAGAAGACCCTTTTAATCTGTAAGGGAACAGTAGGAGAAACAAACATGCTGCTGGAGAGCATCAGCAGGTCTGGCAGCATCTATGGAGTGAGAAACAGTTAACGTTTTGAGTCTGATATGACTCCTTTTCAGAATGAGTTCAAGATTTGAGGGAGGGTATGGCCGCCTCCTGTTCCTATTTTTAATATCCTTTCTAGTGTTCCAGCATTTTAATTGTTCGTAGTAATTACATCCAGTGCAGTGTTGATATTCAACTGCTAGTTAATACTTCCAGTGCTTCTGAAATCTGTCAAGATTTAAATTGCAATAATTCCATTCTGGAAAATTAACTTGTTTAAACATCAGGGTTTATGTCAAGGTGTGCTGTATATTTTACTCCATTCTGACTTTAGGAGAATTTTGTGCCAGTTATGGGCAGGGATGTCAGTCATTGGACGTGACAAGCTTTCTAATTATCAACTGAACCGAGGTCAGTTACAGGGTGATTTGCCTAATAACTACATTGAACTCTGTAATTCAGAAGAGTGTCCAATAATTTGGATTGCATCATGACCATTTCACAATGGGACCTTGCAATAAATGTGGTCTCTGCTTGATTCTCATCTCCACTCCTTGCTGGCTGTTAAAATCCCCTGTGAAGTGTAGCACCTACGAGCTGTTACCCAAACCACTGGCTGACTACAGTGGAAGAGCTATTTTGTGGATTTAGAGGTCTGATTTGGAAATCTAACTGGATACGCTCACATTAATAACAGATGTACCCTGAAAAGTCAATTCCATCTGATAAACCTCATACTTGCACCATCTATCAAAAGAATTTGACAGGTTTATCATTGATGCTTTTAACGTTGGCTCCCAAGTTTCACTTCTCTGACTCTCTTCTGCAACAGAGGCACTAATGCTCACGTTAGTTCTAGCAATCCCTGCTTCACATCTTGACCCAGCTGGCTAACCTCACGCCCTTGCCTCAGTGAGTTCATAAATTATTCTTCACCTTTCACAACTGGAACCATAACTTTTCAGGTATAATTTGGTAATAACGCCTTCTCTGCACATAGCATTTTATCAGGCAATGAGCGGCAAAAGCTTTATCAAAAAGATGATGGATTTTTAAGGATGTGGAGTTTAGGACGGGGATTAACAAGAAATGGGGGGGTAGGTGGCTGCTACCCATGGAGCGGGGTGGGAGAATGCGCAAGATGCCAAGGTGGGAGGACCTGAGCAAATACGGAGGAATTGTAGATGCAGAGATGGTGGGGAAAGGGAGAAACACCATGCATAGATCTCAACTCAAAATTATTGTTGCTAATTTTTAAATCTTGGCGATTCAGAAACCTGTTTGCTAACCTGATCAGCTAAGGACTGGGTTTGTTTGAGTGCGATCCAAGTTTGAAGAGAATACCTTCTGAATGAGCTGAAGCTAGGTTAATATTAGTAGTGAATTTGATATTCACTCTTCAGATCTGTCTGACCTGTCCTCTGCAGCACATCTTGTGTTTAAGGACAGAAGTTGTATGACACCAGGTCATAGTCCAACAGGTTTATTTGAAATCTCCAGCTTTTGGAGTGCTGACAAAAGTTTGTGGTTTTAAAAAAAACTGTTGGACTATAACCTGGTGTTGTGTGACTTCTGACTTTGTCTCCCCCAGTCCAACACCGGCACCTCCTCCACATAATGTTTAAGAAAGACTATCACTGGCAGAGTAACCGATTCTAGCTTACACTCACAGCTAGAGACTGTAATTTGTAAAAGAAATTGCTTTGAATTTGCTGAAACAGAGTGTTCAGCCATTGGAGCCTTTTCTCATTACACTTCATCTCACCCTCACAGAACAGGCTTTTGTTCCTTTGTCAAGATAGATCTAGCTTCCCCTTAAATGTGTTTTAAGTTATTCATCCAATTCAACATTCTCAGCATTTTCAGGGTAAAACAGTTTTTCCTGAATTGGAGTGATTATTAACTACCTGACTAAATTTTTTCACCTGATGTTGTGGTCTCCCCATAGATGGGAATATCTTGTTAAAGATTTATATCACGAAACCCCTCAGCCATCTCTTTGAGAGAAGGGAGCTCCAGTCTGTCCAATCTTAAAAGCTGTGGAATGTTGTAATAGGTATTTTTGTTCGTTCTGGATGATGTATTTGCCTAATTATGTAGTTGAGTCGTTGTGTTGAGACTGTTTGACGTTGTTGACTTAATCACTGAGCTGGTTTGTTTTCGTTCAGACGTTTCGTCACCATGCTAGGCATGGAGCTTGTGGAGGCTCTGTGGAGCCTCAGATGAAGTGATGTTCTGCTCTGCTTGGAATTTATACTGTCTGGTCCATTATGATGAGTAGTGTCATTTCCTGTTTTGATCTGTATGGGTTTGTATATGGAATCCAATTCTATATGTTTGTTGATTGCGATACGGGTAGAGAACCATGCCTCCAGGAATTCCTGAGCGTGTCTATGTTTGGTTTGGGCTACTGTGGTTACCTTGTCCCAGTTAAACTGATGGCCTTCATTGTCTGACCATACCAATATTAAGGAGAGTTTGTCGTGCCGTTTTGCTGCTAGCTGATGTTCATGTATTCCGATGGCTAGTTTCATTCCTGTCTGTCCGATGTAATGTCTGTGGCAGTTGTTACATGGTATTTTGTAAACCACATTGGTTCTGCATGTTGTGGGAATGGGATCTTTGATCCTTAGGTCTTTAATATCAGTACACTCGGACAATGAAGGCCATCAATTTTACTGGGACAAGGTAACCACAGTAGCCCAAGCCAAACATAGACATGCATGGGAATTCCTAGAAGCATGGTTCTCCGCCTGTAACCAGGGGTCGTGAGTGGGCGGCACGGTGGCTCAGTGGTTAACACTGCTGCCTCAGCACCTGGGACCCGGGTTTGATTACACCCCCCCCCCCCCCCCCCACCCCGGGCGACTGTCTGTGTGGAGTTTGCACGTTCTCCCCATGTCTGCGTAGGTTTCCTCCGGGTGCTCCGGTTTCCTCCCACAGTCCAAAGATGTGTAGGCTAGGTGGATTGGCCATGCTAAATTGCCCATAGTGTTCAGGGATGTGTAGATTAGGTGGGTTATAGGGTAATGTGTCTGGGTGGGATGCCCTGAGAGTCGGTATGGATTTGTTGGGCCGAAGGGCCTGTTTCCACACTGTAGGGATTCTATGATTCTAATGCAATCAACAAACATATAGAATTGGACCCCATATACAAACCATAACAGACTGGACAGTATAAATTCCAAGTGGAGTAGAATAACATCGCTTCGTCAGACGCTCCACTGCTGATGTCACCTAGCACGGTGATGAAACATCTGAAAGAGAAGAAGCCAGCTCGGCGAGCAAGGCAACAACCTCACCCACAACCCGAGCTACAGATCTTTGCCAAAACTTTAAACTATGTTTGACATTCTGAATGGTGATTCCATTGTTCACAGGAAACACCGATTGCTCCGTGTTGTGGATCTCACAGGACTCCAAGACGATGGAGACAGGCAAGATGCAGATACCATTGGCCAGTGGTCCCGAACTGTGGCCTTGGCCAAAGCTTGCATTGATGTATCCCGGACCAGCAGGAGGGACGAGTACAGTTCATCTAAAAGGAGGAAGAGCAGAAGTGGTACTGCATTGGATGCAAATTGTGAAAACCAGCTGTGTGTAGAGTTTCACGCCAATCTCTTCATCACCAGTAACTCCTACACAACAGTAAAGGACGCGCTGCAAATTGGCAAGTCCTCTCCGCTGTGTTTGAAATGCCGGGACCTTCGAGCAGAGGAGTTGTCTGCAAAAAAGACCATTGGTATCCTGGAGCTCTTGGACCCAGTGGTTCTCCGGAAGATTGAGTTGCGTTACAATAACCTCGGTCTCAGCGGGCTCAGTACGCTGTTTCCTTACTTCCCCTTGTTTGCCAATCTGAGCAGCCTCAAACTTCCCTACAGTAATATTGACGTGAGGCACATGACTCCCGAGATGGAAGAGTCCTTCCAGAGCTTGGTGTCGATGTTCAGCCAGCTGCCTAATGTGAGGGAGCTGAACCTGGCATCCTCCAGACTATCTGGACGCATCCGTGAGCTGCTGAAGTAAGTGGTCAGACCTGCCTCTTGCTCTAACTCAAGACATGAAATCCCAGCCACCTTTGGCACGATTTGAAATGTCAAAGGCAAGGGATAGTTCAGAAGTAGAGGTTGGTGGCTGTCCAACTGAGCACCTCCTGGTCTTCTCAACTACAGCTGGTGTATACCTTCCCTGTGAGCTGTACCTTAGCAGGTACCGTTCCATTGTTCTTATTCTGGAATCATGTTTGAAGGAACACTTTTGCCATGGGGTCCACAAGAATTGCGGATTAGAGAGCCCATCACAAAACTCCTTCATGGTAACCCCCAGCTGGTGTGGGAACTGAACCCATTCTGTTGGCATCACTCTGCATCACAAAGCAGCCATCCCACTGAGCTAACCAGGCTCAGTAGGCAGCACTCCCCTCAGGAAATTGGGAATTCAATCCTACTCCATAAACCGAAGCACCGAATCTAGTTGGCACTCACTGTGCACTCTCAGGTACCATCTTTTAGATGAGGGGGCCCTCAAGTGGATTCTTGGGGACTCTTGGCAAATATGTATTCCACAACGAAGGATTACAGGTGTGCAGATTTGTTGCCCCATTTTCTACACACAGTGACTAAATTTCAGAAGCGCAGCATTAGCTGTAAAATGAAAGCCAAAAAAGGTGCTGTAGGAGTGCAGAGATAGTAGGAACTGCAGATGCTGGAGAATCTGAGATAACAAGGTGTAGAGCTGGATGAACACAGCAGGCCAAGCAGCATCAAAGGAGCAGGAAGGCTGACGTTTCGGGCCAAGACTCTTCTTTTCTGTAGGAGTGCAAGTCTTTTAACTCTATCTCAACATTTAGAATGATCAGATTTTGCATAAACAGGAGACAACATAGTTTCACTGGTCATTTGACTCATTTCTGTTTGTGGGAGGTTTGGTCACTGTTTCACTTTGTAACAGTGCTAAGTTCACTTCAAAAGTTGAAGTATCCCTCACACCAAGGTCTATGTACATGTTTGCTGCTTCTTGCAAAGAGGTAGTATTAGAGAAATTCTGTGTAATGCTGTCGGGGTTTGTGGCCCTTGTTGTTTGGAAATCCCTGTTTACATACTATTAATTGATTGGGGTCAATTTGGAAATATTTACTATTAATTACACTCTCGAGATGTTGGATGCAGTGAGAATCAGGTTGTTATTGACTGCAGATGCCATTGAGACTGCTGTTGACTTCTTTAATTCAACACTGGTTTACTGTCAAGGAGCTGTTTCTCAATCAGTTCTAGCACAAAATCTGATCATCTAAATGTTGAGATGCAGTTAAAAGGCTGCAAGATTTTGTCTGTCTCAAAGATATTGCCAATCCCATATAAAAATCCTTCAGTTCTAGAGGGCCTCTAACCAGTTAATTACAGTCACTGATTTGATTTTTTTTTAGTGTTTTCTGTCACTGCTTGTGTTGTGTCTAATGGATTTGTTTCAAACAGTGTCTTGCAGCAATCCCTGGAAAGCCTGGAACTTGCTTACTGCTACCTGCTACCAATGGACGCAACCTACCTGGCCAACAGCCATCATGCCCCGTACCTGAAGAAGCTGGATCTGAGTGGTAATAACCTCTCTGATGTCCTGCTGGGCCCTTTCTGCCAGATTCTGCAGCACTCTTCCACCTCGCTGGTCTACCTGGACATCATGGAATGCAGGGTGATGGACAGACAGCTCACCGCCTTCCTGCCTGCCCTCGGACTATGTTCTCAGCTACAGTATTTCAGCTGTTTCTGTAACCCTATTTCCAGCCAGGGTCTCAAGGCCTTACTTAACACTGCAGTGCACCTACCAGTCCTTAAAGTTGTCGTGCACCCTATCCCAGTCGACTGCTATGAAGAAGGACTGCCCTGGCCCCCATCTACGTATGACCTTATTGACTACAGTATCGATCAAGAGAAGCTAAGTCGGGTTGATGCAGAACTGCACGAGATACGGTTGAAGGCAGTGAGAACAGATATTCTTACAACAGTTGAGTTATACAATGACTTCTCATTCGATGTGTTGCAGTTGTACTGAAGCAAACGCCCTTCATTTTTTCTTTTAAAAACAACAGGAGCAGCTTGTATTAAATGCGTTTGAGACAGATACAATTTATATGAATTGGTTTTATATATTTGCAGTTAAGTGAGATTTTTATATACGTACCTAAATCTTTATTTATAGTTTAAAAGCATCAGTACAGATGTAATAAACTTCATTTCGTTAACTTGTTTTTTCTAAGGAAGGAATGAGGTGAACCATTTTCTTTGTCTTCTCCTGCCCAAGCAGTACACACAGGCTGCACAATGCAACCAGTTCAGTTTCTGTCTCCCCTCCTCATGTCTGCAAGGCAACCCTGCCTCAAAATAGAAGGTGCTTGTTAAGTGGGTGTGTTGAGGCCTGGGAGGGAGACTTGAGAGGCTGCTTTGTGGATTGGGGAAGGGAAAGGCCATGTTTAATGAGATTTCTGAGGCATGAATTGATCAAATGTTCATCAGGTTGATTTGAGTGATGGTGCCTGCCACTATAAAGAGCAAGCCTCACCCTTGTTCAGCTCCAGCTTTTGAGTGGATGTGGCAGTGATAAAAAATCCGGGTCTCTAGAACTCTGGTACCCTCATCCTGTTGCACCAGTACTTAGAAACCAATTTGTCCGTTGTAAATGTAGAGAGAAGCGTACCAGAGGTTGCTGTTTCTTTTGTAAATGTTCGGAAAATAAGTTTATTGTGCTCCCAAATCAGTTCACCATGCTGTTTATTTACACCATTCATTGAACCATGAACCCTTCACCCTTCTGCAGACTGTGTGTGGAGTTTAGAAGATTGGTGTTGCTTAATCTGAGTGATGGCCCAGGCATAATAATACAACACAGTGACTAACTTGGTGCAAATTCTGATTTCCATGAAAGGAGATGCTGCAATGCTGAGGAACTTCACACATGGCTTGTAACTTGGTCAATAACTCTGGGACTTCCATCTAGCTGTACTGAGTTCAGACCTAGATGCTATTTCTCTGAGGGGGTCTTCTTGCACAGTAGTAACGACCCTACCTCTGGACCTCGAATGCTGTGCATTAGGTTTGTCTCTGCGTGGCCTGTTCGGTCTCTGCGCAGTGCATTCCTGAATGGTGCACGTCTTTGCTCCCTTGAAGCTCACAGGGAATCCTGATCATCACCAATGAGCAATAGAGTGTGGATTTATGGGAGAAAACCTTAGTTTACATCACTGCCCCGTGAATGGTTCAATGCAAATTTCATAGGTGCCCACAAATAGGATATGTAGAGAATGTTTCTATAGTAAGATGTAAACATTGCTGACAAGACCAGCATTTAGTGCCATTCCCAAAGGTAATGTTCCCATATCCCTCTAAACCCTTCCTATTCATATACCCATCCAGATGCCTTTTAAATGTTGTAATTGTACCAGCCTCCGCCTCCACCACCACCTCTGGCAGCTTGTTCATACATGCACCACCCTCTGTGTGAAAAAGGTTGCCCCCCTAGGCTCCTTTTAAATCTTTTCCCCTTGCAACTTAAACCCTCCACTTTTGGATTCCTCATCCTCTGACTCCTCTCCGTGTCCCTTATGATTTTGTGAACCTTGAGAAGGTTACCCCAGCCTCTTCAGCAACAGTAAGAACTGCAGATGCTGGAGTCACAGTCAACACAATGGTTTAAGGTCAGGACCCTTCTTTGTCTACTTGTGACTCAACTTTCAAGGAATATTGAACTTGCACTCTGTTTGTTCAGCAACACTCCCCACGACCATACCATCAAGTGTATAAGTCCTACCCTGATTTGCCTTTCCAAAATGCAGCACCTGACATTTATCTAAATTTAAACTCCATCTGCCAGTCCTTGGCCCATTTGATCAAGATTCTGTTGTACTCTAATATAACCTCCTTCACTGTCCATTGCATCTCCAACTTTGGTGTCATCTGCAAACATACTAACCCCCCCCATCCCTCCAAATCATTTATATAAATGAGGAAAAGCAGTGGACCCAGCACCGATTCTGTGGCACACCGCTGGTCACAGGCCTCCAGTCTGAAAAGCAACCCTTCACAACCACTCTGTCTTCTACCTCCGAGCCAGTTCTGTATCCACATGGCTAGTTCTCTGTATTCCAGGTGACCTAACAGCTCGCCAGTGTAATAGGAGGAACCTTGCTATAGATCACATCCACTGCTCTGCCCTTATTAGTCCTCTTTGTTACTATTTCAGAAAACTCAAATCAAGATTTCCCATGCACAAAGCCATGTTGATTATCCCTAATCAGTCCTTGCCTTTCCAAATACATGTAAATCTTATCCTTCAGGATTCCTCCAACAACTTGCCCACCACTGAGGTCAGGCTCACTGGTCTATAGTTCCCTGGCTTTTTCTTTTCACCTTAGCTAACCTCCTGTCTTCTGGTCAATTGCAAGAACTGCAGCTACTAGAGTCATAGCCTGACCTCCCCCTCCCCCCCTCAATGTGCCTGGCACCACTGACCATATGGTCACCATTGCATCACCCACTGACATCACTGAACTCGTCACATCCGCTGACACCGGTCACGGGACTTCTGGTACCGCAGGCCATTCCCCTGCTGCCACCACGCACAGCGCAGACACTGCGTCTGTCTCCAACATCAAGGACAATGTCACTTCCTCTGACACTAACTCCGCTGCCACACCCAGCTCCAACCCAGCCACCAGCTCTACACCATTGCCCCAGACTTCCCCTCATGAAGACGAATGGTCAGTCCTCAGTAAAGGACTCACTTTCATTTGCCTCCACCCACACATCAATGAATACTGCTCACACCTCGACATCGAATACTTTTTCCACCGTCTCTGTGCCTATTTCTTTAACCGCGAGTCTAAGCCACCCTATACAGACACCTTTTCCCACCTCCAACACACCCCCTCCTCCTGGACACCACCCTAAGGCCTCCTACCCTCCCTCGACCTCTTCATCTCCAACTGCCGTCAAGACATAAATCGCCTCAACCGCTCCACCACAGAACGTGCAGCCTTCTGCTGCAACCCTAACCTCACTGTACAAGCAGAGGACAAGGGAGGCCAGCCACCAACTCTGACGCCACCTCCTACTGTCCCCCTCGATTATGATCCCACCCCTAGTCTCCCAAACCATTCATAACCTCATCACCACAGCCTCCAACCCGACTCCAGTTTCCCCCCCCCCAGTCCAGGAACTCCCCACCTACGTCCGTGACACCACCCACACCCTCCACCTCCTCCAAAACTTGTGATTCCCTGGTCCTCAACACCTCATCTTCACCATAGATGTCCAGTCCCTTAAGCTATTTGCATGGGGAATGCAAGTATAAAGTGCCTTCTGCTTCTTCCTCTCCCACTTCTTCCTCTCCCACAGGCCCGACCAGTCCCCCTCCTCCAACACCCTTATCCACTTCACCGAACTCGTCCTTACCCTTAACTTCTCCTTCAACTCCTCCCACTTCCTACAAACTAAGGGGGTGGCTATGGGTACCTGCATGGGCCCAAGTTATGCCTGCATCTTTGTAGGATATGTAGAACATTCCCTTTTCTGCCGCTACACTGGCCCTATCCCCCACCTCTTCCTCTACTACATTGTTGACTGTATCGCAGTCCCACGAGGAGTTCAAACAATGCATCAGCTTTATTAACACCTTTCACCCCAACCTCAAATTCACCTGGACCATCTCTGATACCTCCATCTCTGGTGACCACCTTGAAACAGACTATTTCAAACGCACCAACTCCCATAAGCTACCTAGACTAGACCTCCTCTCAGCCATCTTCCTGCAAGAATGCAATCCCCTACTCCCAATTCCTCCACCTCCGCCGTCTGTTCCCAAGATGGAGCGTTCTACTCCGGAGCATCCCAGATGTCTTCCTATTTCAGGAACCACAAACCCCACCCCCGGTGATCAAAAATGCTCTCAACGGCATCTCTTGTATTTCCCGCACCTCTGCCCTCACATCCCCACCCCCCCCCCAAAAAAAATAAAAGACAGAATCCCCCTTGTCCTCATATCACCCCACTTACCTCCGTATCCAACATAACATTCTCTGCCACTTCCGCCACCTACAATCCGACCCCACAACCAAGGATATATTTCCCTCTCCACCCTTACATGCCTTCTGGAGGGACTACTCCACACTCCCCACCACCCCGGCACCTTTGCCTGCAACTGCAGGAAGTGCTACACCTGCCCCTCACCTCCATCCCAGGCCCAAAGAAAACCTTCACATGCACATCTGCCAATGTGGTCTATTGCATTCGCTGCTCCCGATGTGGCCTCCTCTACAAATCGGGGAGACCAAGTGGACGCTCGGAGACTGCTTTGTAGAGTGCCTGTGCTCTGTTCATGACAAATGACAACACCTCCCAGTCACGAACCACTTCAACTCCCCCTCCCACTCCCTGGGTGACATGTTTATCCTGGGCCTCCTCCAGTGTCATAATGATGTCACCCGAAAACTGGAGGAACAGCACCTCATATTCCACCTTGGGAGCCTACAGCCCAATGGTCTCAATGGACTTTACCAGTTTCAAAATCTCCCCACCCCTGACCAACCCTCCCTGTCATCTCCACCTCCTTCATCTGACTCGACCCACCTATCTGCTCGACCCACCTATCTGCTCGACCCACCTATCTGCTCGACCCACCTATCTGCTCGACCCACCTATCTGCTCGACCCACCTATCTGCTCGACCCACCTATCTGACCAATCCCCACCACTGCCTACCTGCACTCACCCATCACCATCGCACCTATCTTCCCCCAGCCTCACCCCTCCTCTATTTATTTGAGCTTTCTTCCTCCTCCCCATTTCTGAAGGCTCCTGACCCGAAGCATCGACTTTCCTGTTCCTCTGATGCTGCCTGGCCTGTTGTGTTCCTCCAGCTCCACACTGTGTTATCTCTGACTCCAGCATCTGCAGTTCTTGCTATCTCTCAGCCTGACGGTTTACTCAGTAAAATTGTCTTGGCAAACATTCAATAGTACAAGCTGGTAGATGCTGGAAGAGAAGCACCACACAAACGAGGCCAACGTAAAAAGGGACAAACAGGCCAGGAAGAGGGCCCAGATGTTGAGAGACCCCATGGTCAGACTGCCC